CGGTGAATCTCGATCCCTAGAACGAACGAGGCTTCCTCAAGATCTTTCATATCAAGTTTTGAGAACAAAACTACTAGCAAGTAAGATATCATTTACATACAGGATAAGGAAGATAAACTTTCCAATCTTAAACTTTGCATAGACACAATTGTCCTCTACATTCTCTTTAAAATCCAAAATTCTTTATTGACCGATCAAACTTCAAGTACCACTGTCTTGAAGCTTGCTTTAATCCATAAATGGATTTCTTTAGGCGGTATCCCATTCGTTCTTTTCCTTCCATGACAAAACCTTTCGGTTGTGCCATGTAAACATTTTCCTCCAAGTCTCTGTTGAGAAATGCCGTCTTTACATCCATATGATGTAATTCTTAATCGTAATGTGCCACTAATGCCATTATGATTCTGAAGGAAACTTTACATGAGACTGGAGAAAATGTCTCATTGTAATCAATCCCTTCTCTTTGCATAAAGCCTTTTGCCACAAGTCACACTTTATATGTCTCTATATTTCCTTGAGAGTCATGTTTAGTCTTGTAGACCCATTTACAGTCTACTGTTTTGACTCTTTTAGGAATTATTTTCAAGTCCCAAACTTTATTGGCATTCAATGATTTCATTTCATCTTCCATGGCCTCAAGCCACTTTGATGACTGATCACTACTCATGGCTTCTTCAAACGAGGCGGGATCATCCTCCATTTGAAATTCTTTAGTGTTGTACACTTCATAATCAGCAGGAATAGCTGATTTTTCAACTCTTTGAGACCTTTTAGGGGCCTCCACATTTGGCACATCTTCTGTTTGAGGCTGTTGTTGCTCCCCCTCATGTGTGGCAATTGGTTCTATTGGATCCTGAATAACAGGTTCCTCATTTTCATTCATTGTTGTCATAGGTGGGATAACAACAGTCTTTGGTACCACAAAGATATCTAGCACAGTCGGTCTGACTATAGCGGTGTAGTGAGAGAATTGGCTCATGAATCATTGGAGTGGGCGCTTACACCCGCTTCGCTTTAAGGTCAATTTCTCGAGCTACCATGCTCCCCTTTATCTTTTCATCCTCTAGGAAAACAGCGTGTCTCGTTTCCACAAACTTTGTGTGTCTCTCTGGACAGTAGAAACGAAAACCTTTTGACTTTTCTATGTAGCCAAACAAATGGCAACTTACTGTTTTGGGATATAACTTCTCAATGTTTGGGTTAAATACTTTAGCCTCAGCAGGGCTCCCCCACACGCACGCAAGTGGTTTAGTGAGGGTACTTTTTCTATCCACAACTTATACGGCGTTTTGGGCACCGACTTTCCTGGTACTTTATTGAGAATATGAATGGCCGTTTTCAACGCCTCCATTCACATGCTCAACTGTAAGGTGGAGTAACTTATCATACTGCCCACCATATCCATCAAGGTACGATTGATTCTTTTAGCTACTCTATTCTGCTGAGGTTCGTCCGGTGTAGAATAGTGGGCTACTATGCCATTCTTTTAGGGTATGCTGACCGTAGTACTCTTCCACGGTCAGACCTGACTATCTTTAATATCTTAAATTTATCCAATACATCTTTTCTTTCTTTGATTGGATAAATATAGCCGTAATGGGAGTAATCATCTGTGAATGTTATGAACGAATCATAACCATCCACACTCTTTACAGGAAAGCTGACCACAGATGTTAGTGTGAATAATCTGTAAAATTCCTGTGCTTCGTTTGTCATCTTTCTTTACATACTTTCCTTTTATGCATTCTCTGCATTGAACTTAATCTGAGAGCTCTAATGGAGGAAGAATATCATTCTTAACTTGTCTTTCTATTCTTTGATTGGATAAATATAGCCATAATGGGAGTAATCATTTGTGAATGTTATGAACGAATCATAACCATCCACACTCTTTACAGGAAAGCTGACCACAGATGTCAGTGTGAATAATCTGTAAAATTCATGTGCTTCGTTTGTCATCTTTCTTTACATACTTTCCTTTTATGCATTCTCTGCATTGAACTTAATCTGAGAGCTCTAATGGAGGAAGAATATCATTCTTAACTTGTCTTTCTATTCTCCCCCTTGAAATATGGCCTAAACGACAGTGCCATAATTTCGACAACGCATCGTGAGCTCTCTTATGCTACCATTTCCAGAGTAACACTCTGTGACCAAATTTTATCGCCTAAGTGGCATATGTCTTTGAAGAGCCAAATGAACTGCTCTTTATTCTATCGAGGTGCTTTCGGTGACCAGTGTCACATTCTCGGGATTGAGCCCACAATTGTAGGTTCAATCATGTTCTTTATCACACCAAACATTTCTTGTTTGCGATGACCCACTTCCTATGCTCAAAAGCCATAGGATATCTTTTGGGATTCAAAATCCCTTTCTTTAGTTGCCCAAGTGGCATCATTCTCTTTGTCTCCCTCACCGGTGCCACAAACTCGATGGAACACGGTGAGGTGACTACCCACCCACCTCAAACAAGATGAAAACCAGGTCAAATCTTTTCTTAACATAAAATTAACACCATTTGCATGCCTTGATTCCAACGTTGGTCAAAATCAAAACATACAACTATTCTTATACACTAATTCTACATCACCGTTAAAGTAGAAATAGAATTAATGCATAAATCTTTAACTTTCATAATCGCTTTTTTACACACTAATTCTACATCACCGTTAGGCGAAATAGAATTAATGCATAAATCATTAAAATTAACATATGTTCTTATACACTAATTCTACATCACCGTTGGGCGTAAGTAGAATTAATGCATAAATCATTAAAATTATCAACTTTTTCTTATACACTAATTCTACATCACCGTTGGTGAAGTAGAATTAATGCATAAATCATTAGCATTACGATATTGTTATTAATAACGTTGGTGGAAAACAACAACATCATAATCATGTCAAAACTCTTTTCTCCAATTAAATACCACATTGGTTCAAAATAATTGGAGAATCAACATTTTCTTTAGCAATGAAAAACTTTCCTTTTCTCCAATTAAATACCACATTGGTACAAATTAACCGGAGAATAAATCATTTCTCTAGTCGTGGAAAAACTTCTCCTTTTCTTGAATTTTACCCACGAGGAAAATTGTATTTTCTATTTCCTTTAATCCATTAATCAATTTCGAAAAATAAACATTTCTTTGGAAAAACTTTTCTTTTCTCGATTTAAAATACCTTTTTATATTTTCTTTAAGCCTTTTATCCATTTTCCAGAAATAAAACCTTTCTTCAAAAATGAAAAAAGCGAAAAATATGACTCAATTGTTTCACTGTTCTTTTCGCCCAATGTCGGCAGCAGCAGGGCCCACGGCCCATGCCCGCATGGGCGTTTCCGCCTTCTCCAGCGCCCGTGCCGCAACTGGGCTCGGGCTGAATTCGCTCATGGCTACAGACTACTTTGGCCGAAAGCTATCCATTCTTTCATCACCGTCCGATCTCATCCGACGGTCAAGCGGAGATCGGGCCGATCAAAAAGGGCGACGCGCGCCTCCCAAAAACCCTAATTCATTTGCGCCTCTGCTCTCTCTCTCTTCGTTTCTCTTCGCCGCTTCTCCTCTTCTCTCTCTCTCACACAAAGACCGAGGGCGAAGCGCAAATCGAGCGCCGAAAGGCGGTGGAGCAGCGAGCACGGCGGCGTCGCCGCCCCTCGCCGGCGTCAGCGTTCCCAATGGGTGGTGGCCTTGCCGCCGTCAGCAACTTTAACCATGGCGTCCTCCTTGGCCGAAAGCTTCGGCGAAAACCTTCCCATGGCTCGGTCTTCTTCTCCTCACGGCCAAAAAACAGCCATTACCAAAGGTGCTGCAGCGAGATCTCTTTCCTTTCTTCTTCCCCTTTGGTTTGAGTTATTTTCTCTGCTTTTCTTTTAACTTGTTCATCCGAAAAGAGGATCTAGGGTTAGGGTTCATTGAACCCGATTCGTATTTTCTTTTGTTTCTTTCCTTTTCTTATTTGTGCCAAATCCCTTTTCCCTTCCTTGTTGCGAGTTAGGGTTAGGGTTCCGTTGAACCGATTCGGTTTTGATTCAAGATCTTGAGATAGGCCCTTCCCACGGTCATTTCTTGGGTTAGGGTTCGGCTCGAAGTGCCGAGAGCCCTCTCTGTTCTCTGATCCGAATGGATCTTGTTTTCTTTTCTTTGTTTGACCGATTGGGGTTAGGGTTTGTGTCACCGCTTCTTTTCTCTTCTTTTGAATTTCCTTTCTTTTCTTTTATTTCTTTTCTCATTTGGATTTAGGGTTCGGCTCTGCTTAGTCTTAAGGCGAAATCTTTCTTTTCCCCTTTCTTTAACCCAATTAGGGTTAGGGTTAGGGAGTGTTCATTCTTTTACTGTTCTTGCCGTGTCGATGCGGCACTTTTCCCATGTGATGGCGGTGGTGACCGGGTTCCATGACCTCCGCCACCCCGATCCCTTTTTTTTTTCTTCTTTTACCCGGTTAGGGTTAGGATTACAGAGGCAACTGGCTCGATACCATTGTTAGGATCGAATGTGTGTACCTCACTTTGTGACCCGTAGATCCGGTTAGGCTCCTTGCTGCCTCTGTTGCGGCGCATCGGCAAGCGTGTAAGACGCCGATGCCGCGTCGCGGTAGTAGACGCCGTAGTGGCGAGGAGGTGAAGTCCATCTTTGATACTGCAGTGGTCCGATGGTGGCCTCTGCAGTGGGAAGCGACAGCGGTGGTGGCGGGCTCATCCTCTCATTTGGCGGCAAGACGTCTTTAGATCGGATTAGGGTTTTCTTTGGTGGGTGTGACGGCTCCGGCGAACCTCGTTTCTTGAGCCCATCCCCACTCCTCTATTTATGTCTTTGTCTGACGAGGGCCCACCAACCCGATTAGGGTTGGGCTCCCGATCGTCGAGGAAGCGAGGCAGGGCCCAATGAGGCCGTTGGGCCTATTGGTGGAGATCAACTAACATGTTGCTCTTCATTGAGTTTGAGTTACTGCTCTAGGTTACGTTTTCTGACATAATTCATTTTCCTCTCTCTCTTTCAGGCTAGGCAAATAGTTGGTTCGGCTGTACTTGTGAAAGCTGGAGATAGGCCAGAAATTGAGGACGATGAATTCTATTCACTTGACCTTGTTGGAATGAGAGTTATTGTGAAGGTACATACATCTTTGTTTTATTTTTCAAGATATTGTCCAATGCCGCTTCATTGGCTGATTTCAGTTACAAAATTAAGATACTCCCTCTGTTCCAAATTATAAGTTGCTTTGACTTTTTTAGTACATCAAATTTGCTATGCATCTAGACATAATGTATATCTAGATACATGGCAAATTCGATGTACCAAAAAAGTCAAAGCTACTTATAATTTGGAATGGAGGGAGTACAATGTAGGAAATTTTAAAAAGCATGCCCCGTGCACTTTTATACTACTTGATAAGGGAAACTTAGGTTGATGCCACTGTAAATGGTTGGTTAAGACTTAAGAATGATTTGTATTTTAAAATAGCTCCCTCCACTCCCTAAAAGTAGACACAACAATTATGATCTTCATTTGATACTTTTTCAAAACTGCTCTGTCCACCCCCTGCAAATAGAGTAGTAAACACCACAGCCAAAATGCACACACAGTATCCTCTTTTTTTTGCGAGAAACACAATATACTACTTATTGTTCCAGGGAAATCTTGTTATCAAATTTAGTAACTGAAATCATTTCACAGGATACAGGCAAGCTCGTTGGAACAGTTGGTCAGGTTTTCAATTTCGGAGGTGGAGATCTTCTACAGGTGATGATTGGCTCTGCTGAGGGTACTGCTGTTGATCAAGATTCAGAAAGTCAAGATTCAATTTCATCACGTGAGCATGTGTGGATACCATTTGCTGAAGATATTGTACCTGATGTTGATATGGCAAGCAGAGAAATGTGGATTACACCTCCGAAGGGGTTACTTGAACTCAATTCTCGTTCTGATAAGAGGTCGAAGAAAGAAAGGCGTGCGATGGTTAGGTCTGCATCATCCTTTTCTTGCATCCATGCTCGCGTCTACAGCCATGATTTGCATCTTAAAAGAAACAAAGAATGTGTCAGGTTCATAGTACTGAAATGTTGATAGCAGCAGATGTCCTGGCTATTGAAGATTGTAGGTATTTATGTTGCATATAGTATAACAAATCAAATTATACAATTAACTTCCATGCTTCAGGTCCTAACAAAAAACAATATGATGTTTGGTGTTTGATGGTTTGTACTGTGTTATTTTTCAAATAATTCATGACCCAGATTTGATTGTTACAGGAGTGGAAGGACAGGAAGAGACTTCAACGTCGTGTAATTGCAGGAAAGAAGGTGCTCTCTGAAATGGACCAGGTCCATGTTCTGGAAGGTTTGGTATCAGGGGACAAGATCCAAAAGGCATCACTTGCAGAGCAGATTGGGAGCATTGACTTTCAATTGTTCCGACATGCAGTGCATTGTGCTAGCAAACAGATTGAGAGGTATCGCCCTTTGTTCGACATCCTACCAAAATTTTCTTCAAAAGAAACAGGACAGTATGTTTATTTACTATATACACATGTGACACTGCCTAGGTGCCAGATATGCAAATCACTCTTTGTTTGCTTTTGGTGGAAGAACAGCCTTTAGTCAAAAAACTCCTAATCATAGTTGCCCTTCAAACTTGTCAATTTCAGCTCTTCAAAGAATTTGCTGGCTAACTCTTCACTGTCAAGAAAAAAAGTGGTCAAAATACCATATAAGACTCTCATCAACCTTGGGGACAAAGCTGAACATGCTGCATTCAGCAGTGAATTCAAAAATGGTCTTGAGATTCTTCTGAAGTCCAAAGCAGCTATTGTACTTGTTAGAAATGGCCCTGACTCTGATGCCGAGTTTCTGAGTTTGCTCAATTCTTTTAGTGAGTTAATGAAGGTATGCATTCTTTTTCATTGTCGTTAATTGTTGTTCTATAGGTGCAGAATATGCTGATGTGAGTGCATGCTCTATTTATTTTCATACATTGTTAACAATGTAGATTTGGTGTCCTTGGGTGTGTGCGTCCTCATTAGCTAAAATATCATGTCATAATGTTTTAAATTGAAAGTCAAGATGTCCAGAAATAAAATAGACAAGCAGTCAACCTGGTACTGTTCATCATGTGCTGACAGTGACACTTGTGTTTTTTGAATCTCAATGTCAAAGATGGATTTTAAAATGAATTGTTGTGGCTACACATTACTTTAGGTGTACTACATACATGATTTTTTTTATGAATTTCTGAAACATTGTAACATGATATTTTAGCTAAAGAGGACGCCCACACCCCAGGACACCAAAACATTGGTGTATTGTCAATTCCTAGTATGCTTAATTTCCCCAAAGAACATAATAGTAAATATAGGAAAAGTGGAGAACTGCTACTGATCGCTACTGTTGATACTGAAGTTGAACCTGCCCATTGGTCCTGTAGTTTTCAACTGTGTTTGAAGTGGATAGCTCCTTTTTAAATGGGGAATATACTTGACAAATATGTTGTCGAAATGATTAGTCTGTTTAGTCATGAAAAGTTGGAACCATTGTCAGTAGCTTGTTGCTTATTTGCTGCATGCATGCAGTGCTGTTACAAGTTATGCTTACATGATGGCAAATGGTTATCGTATTTTTGTCTTGAATAACAATTGATGGATAAGTTTGATCCTTTTTTGCTTGACACAGGTTGTAGAAAATAAAGTTTCTCCCCCTTTTATTATCGTTTCCCCAGCTGGTCATGTGGAATCAGTTAGGAACTGCCTGGTAGAGAATGACTATTTTGGTTTGGACACTCAAAAGGTACATGGCATTGTCTCGCTGCGGTCTCCATCCTAGTTCCTTCCTCCGTGCTTCCTATAGGCTATAATGCTTCTGAAAACATTCACAGGTGTGGGTGCTGGAAGAGCTGGAGCTTCCAGTTGTCAGTATATCATCCGAGGGAAACAAAAAAAAGGTTCTGATGAAGTCTCCCTGGGAGATAATAAAAAAACCAGCAGGATCCGGTGGTATCTTCAGCTTACTATCATCAAACAAAATATTGGAAACCCTTAATGAAATGGGTGTGCAGTATACACAGGTACGATCATGTGCCAGTCATCACCTAACTTTCTTCTCATCATACATCCAATTGCATTAACTAATCGTTGCAAGTTACTAGGAACAAATCACTTTGCTGTATGGAACGACAAGAAGAGATATGTTCTAGTTAATCTTGTAAATTCCTTCGAGCTCGGAAATATGAGCTCAAGGATTCTTATTACCTGAACCGACTTTTACCATCTTGTTGCAGATCTGCAGCTCATCCAACAGGCCATTCATCGGGCACCCTTTGCTCTTTGGGGCTGTTGCTTCCCGCGGGGCTGATGTTGGTATCCAGCTCTCCAAGACCGGTGATGAAACGGAAGACGATTTCGACGTGATCCTTTCCGTCGACCAGCTGAACAAGACGTGCCGAGATGTCACTCAGGTCAGATTCTCCGCTCTCCCGGAACAGAACGCGCACGGCGAGCATGTCGACGGCCAGTGGGTCGCGGTCCAGCCGGAGGTGGCGAATTCCCTTCGCCTGCAGGCCGAGGTTACGAGTGTCTTAAACTCTTGCGCTCCTGATAAGCTGTGTGTCATGGAGATTGTTGAGCAATAGAAGTTTCTTCTTGCCAGTGTACTGTACATAATCACAGTTGCTTGATAGATGCGTGACGTTTTTCTTTTGCTATTGTTCTGCACCTGCTTTATGAATTTTTAGGGGAGCATCTAGGCAGTGGAATACCACCCACTGATGAACTGGCCACCCACTGCCGATTCTACTCCCCCAGAAGGATATATGATAATAACAAAAATTCCAGCCTCGTGCCCTATTCAGACTTAGGCCCGTTGGGTTATCATGAGATTGTTAGTTATTACATTAATCAATGTTATCTTAGAGCCACTGTGAATACAAATCTAGATTTGACGTAATTATTATTGTACACTGAATATGCATATAATTTGATGGACCCATGTGTAATGGCCATTTGGAAAATTCCATCTATAAACATCATTATATGATTTAAATGTTTATAACTGGAACAGAACATTTCAATTGGTTAAATACAAAATTAAGCGTTGCACTGTACACCTATCCACAAATTTCCCTTAGCCTTCTCTCCAGATGGATAATCTTCCCCCTTTCTTCGAAAGGGGCAGGCAGTGACCCGTGAGAATTGTCGACCGCCCTCCTCTTCACTTCTTGCGGCATAAGGAAGATCACTTCACAACGTTGGCCCGAGATCATCCCCATTGCTCATCAAACAAGAGCAATGAAGGCGACACGCTATTTCCCAGCCTGAAAATCCTTTCCGGACACCTGCATCGTTGGTCAGGTATGCGCGTGCTCCGAATTTCCAGGCATGGGGAAGGGGCAGCTGGAGCTGGCGAGCTGCACTCCGGTTCCCCATCTTATTACCCTCCCCAAGGGCATTGCTTTTAGTACAAACTTGTAACTCCATAGTGAAGAACACCGGCCTGACTGTACCCACCAGCGACCGCTGCGATGCCATTGAAGGGAGCAACGCCATGCAGCGTGCTCCTATGGAGGGTGGCCCTGTCTGTTAGATCAGCTTTGGGCATGCCCCTTGAGACATAGTACTGTGACGGGCGTATGTCCCGGGCCATCTCAGGTGCTACCTTGGCATCCATGAGATGCTGCCCTGTCCTATACTGCCTCCGGTCTTTCTCACGCTCTAGCTGATGCTCCTGCCTGTCGGAGCTGTTCGACTTCAGGTGGTAGCAGTAGACTGACGAGGTGTTGGTTACTGGAGGAACAGCTGGATTCCTTGCCACCCGTCGCGCAATGTGTTGATCAGTGACGCTAGCACTCTCGAATGGTAATACTGAGCCTACCACTCTTCCTGGTCTAGCTGCAAGATTGGCAGAGATGAAGCATGTCAGAAAAATTGGGAGTCAGGTCTCAGGAGTGACTGAAAAACAGATTGTTAGGTAGCCATAAATAAGGAAATGCAAACAGTTACCTGCTGGAATCCTTTGAGCAACCTGGGAGGATGCTGTTGGACCTTCCTTTGCAGGAATTGGAGTGGAGTGAACGGTTGTTGTCCTGCAAGCAGCAAATCAAGGTCAGCAGTCAAGTTTGAGTGAATTTTCTGTGACACCCCAGGCCAACCGATCATCTGATAGGGTTTAGGGTCTCTTGGGATAAATCTTTCAAGAAACACAATCATTACACTATCCTATATCTAGTTGACAAATCTTATTGAGTAACTAATACATTACCCTGGTTAATCAATTTCAACAACCAATAAATGGCAGCACAAATCATTGAGAGGAAAAGAAGATTATGTTACCTTGGGAGAGATTCGTGCTTCCTGTCAAGCGTGGCATTCCTCCCTCCATTTTCTTCTAAGCTAGCAAATTGCCTACGGAACCTGTCAACAGCGCTGCAAAATAAAAAATATTCAAGAACTATCAAGGATGTATGTCATGAATATTACCGCATTGAAACAAAATAACAAGAGGGAAAAGAAACTAAAAAGATATAGTCAAGGTAAGAACCTGGGATATAGAAAGCTCGTTTTTTCAGAGTCGTTCTTGTAATCCTTCAGAAGTTGAGGATGGTACTGCAGTATCTCCTGGAATATAAGTTCCTTGACGTCCTCTTTGGTAAACTTCTGTTCGAACTCAAATTCCATTTTCGAAATTGGCTGACAGGATGGTTCCCTCTCCACTTTTGCAATGCCTTTAAAATAGGAATCAGCCAACGCCTGGTCATGCATACAGCACAATTATTTTAGAATATAATTCTGCAAAGTAACACAAATAACAGCAGTGTAAACATAAAATCTATGTTTCATTACGACAAACCTACCTCTTCAGCAGTTGGTCGATCCTTAGGATCAAATGCTAGAAGCCTTTGTAAGAGCTTGAGCGCCGAAGGATCTGCATTGGGGAACTTCTCTGAAAAGGGTATTGGCTGTTTCCTCCTCATGCTGCTCAGATACCTCCTTGCTTTCTCATTTCGAATCTGTAGACGAATGAACAAAAACATTTGAGACTTAGCAATAATTTATGCTTGATATTGAACATGTCTCAATATTTCCATAAATAATAAATCATACCTGTGAAATAATATCTGCTGATGGCATGCCCAGGAGATCAGTCATCAAATCCAACTGGTGAACCACATTTTTACCAGGGAATAAAGGCTTCCCAGTCAAAATCTCCGCAAAAATGCAACCAATGCTCCACATATCAATAGCCGGTGAATACTGCACAAGAGAATCAACTTAATATCATCGGGATAACATAGGCATTTCAAACTAAATATTGAAGGTGGAGGAAACCAAAAAAAGACCGATACGACTTAACAAAACAATAGTATGAGAAAAAATTGAGTACCTTACTAAAGAAAGATCCACACAGCTCAGGAGCCCTGTACCATCTAGTAGCAACATAGTCCTGCAATCAGGGCAGACAGTGAGGCTCAAGTTCGAAGTAGGACTCTTTGGTACAGAACACACTAAATCAACAATGTTGCTCATAACTCATAAGAGGCTTTGATAAAAATGCGATGCTGTGAATCGACTATAGTAGAACTGTAAAAATAACATACCGTCCAGAAAACTGTGGTAGGAGAGTCATTAAATGCAACCCTTGCTAGCCCAAAATCACATATCTTGAGTTTGCAGTTAGCATTTGCTAATATATTTTTCGGCTTTAAATCACGATGATAAACATTAGCTGCAGAAAAATAGGCCAGTCAGAGCACATCTCAAAGTCACTCTATAATCGATATATATAAAGTAAATGCACATAAATGCATATGACATATTATAAGTGAAATCAGCACACACTCGCAGAATTTAAATAAGGAAGGTAAATGTTGATGTCAAGAGTATGGACATGTACACTTCCATCTAAGCACAGAGAATGTCAATAAATTTCATTTTCCTTTTTTCAACACAAAGAAAGCAACACTAAATAATCAGAACCCCAAAGCTTACTTGAGAAAGCAAGGGAATGATTGAGAATACAATACACACATGAAAGTAAGTCCTTATAAATGATTAGCACTAAGCCACTAAAGTTGAATTCGCGTGCAAATGCTAGTCAGAACCATTCATACTCCAAATTGCAAACAGAAAAGCACGTTCATACTACTAATTGAGAACAGAAAAGCAGCACATCGCACTATGAATGCTAGTCAGAAGACCTTTCAAGCTAAAATAAGGAATCTTTAAAGGTGCATACCAGTATGAATATATTTCAATGCACGCAGCATCTGATAGAGAAAGAACTGGTGGTGTTCCTTTGTCAAGTCATCGTTAGCCTTAATAACTTGGTGAAGGTCGGTATCCATCAGTTCAAATACAACGTAAATATCTCTGTAGTCCCTCCTCGACGGAGGTAACATGACATGTTTGATCTCAACAATATCAGGATGCCTTAGCAGCCGTAGAAGCTTGATCTCACGGAGGATCCTAGCAGCGTCGGACAGATGCTCGAAGATATTCTGTATCTTCTTGATCGCTACCTTCTCACCGGTATGTCGGTCAATAGCTGAACAAACAACCCCATAACTTCCTTTGCCAATGATTTCCTGAATCTTGTATCTGTTGGCATCGCCATATTCGCTGAAGAATTCCATCTCTGGTGAATTCTGTAAGTTTGAAAGAAGAAAACGTTAAGATTGCCTGCACAGCTAGTGAATAGCCTTTTTTTTTCTGAAACGTATATTCAAGTCACCCATTGCAGAACGTAAGCAATGACATATGACTTGGAAACTGCCAAGAAATTCAGCAGACAGAATTGCATGCTTTTCAAGTGTTAAAAAGCTGAGCCACCAAAATCGAACAATAGGCGCAGCAAAGTAGACAGAGGTGAGATCCCCAACAGGAACATCTATACCGACTCTTCCACATCTAGCAAGAGGCAACCACTTCTGCCTTCTGGCATACACCAAGAGAATCATTCCTATTACTAAATTAACCAATGGGATAGTACAATCTTTTAACCTGGTTTCTACTTACCGACAAACTGATGGCAAGTAATCCAACCAAACTCAAACGCAAAAGCTCTGCAGCATCTACCCTCTCCGACCCATCCCAGACTGACTTTTCCCACCGGTCAAAGAACTCCTGATCTCAAGTCTCAAACCCTTTACCAAGGCTAATGATCACCTCTGAACAGGCAGCACCTCAGCTTAAAATAAACGTAGTAGTAGACGGTAAATAATACCTCCCACAGTTGGCACGGAATATTTATACAGAACTAAGCCAGCCATCTATGTCCACAAAACGAAAGGAAATACTGCGACTTGGATTAGGATAAACATACCAAGTCACCCGAATCCAATACCCGCGTTTACCAAGACGACTCCTCGACCACCCGTCTTGCGTTGCGCGGTATACTCCTACTAAAGAATTACCGCTCCCGCTTATAACGATGGCGTGAAAAAAGAACCAGATTTTGGGGGATTTGAAACTGAAAACCTAGCTTTAAAGAGGGAGTGGATTTCTCGCAGATATATAGTACTACCAAGGAGAGGACTCTGGGGAAGACTAATAGTACTCGAATGATTCGGATAAGACGGGATCTCCTAACAAGGCAAGAAATCAGTACGGTAAATCCCATTCCCAGGAAAAGGCGTATTCTCTCGCGCAGGGAGCAAGCAACTCAGGATCAAAACCGCAAGAAATCCAAATCCCCCCAAATCCAGCAGCTCCTGCCGTGCCAAAATCCGGAGGAACACAGAGAGAAGCCGCATCCTTATCCAGTCGCCCCACACGAGCGCCGCTGCTCAGGGCACAGCTGTCCTTCACAGGTCGTCGTCGTCCATGGCACCAACAAAGGCAGAGAAGAGAAAAGAAGCAATCTTTTTCGCTTTGGAACCGAGCTCCCCACCTTCTTCCTCTGCTCCGCCTGCGCCATAGCACCGGCATTTGCCTCCGGCATCGTCAGGCCGCAGCCGTGGAAGACCTCGCGGGAGAAGTGAGAAAGCCCCTGCCGGCCTGCCGCCTGCCGCCTGCCGCCCCAATCCGCAGGCAAGGACGACAAGGTGGGGAGGGGGAGAAGAGGAGTGGACGACGGAGGAGCAGAAGCGGCGTCCCCTTGGGTTATATGAGCGCGGGGTGGGTGGTGTGTTACAATTGTTAAACAAGTCGAGGGAGGTGCGGGTGGACGGTCCTACCCCTTCCTCCGGCGACGGCGACGGCTGAACTGCGGCGATGGCACGCGTCGTAGTCTCCGGGAAGGCGTAGGGGTAGTTTCGTCATCCCCGCGTCTGATGCCGTGCTGGTCCTGACGTGGCTCTGGCGTTGACGTGGCTTTTTTTTTTTGTCTTGCTGGGTTTTAACTTAAATCCGCTAAGTGGATAATTATATTTTTTTGCTTTTCCACGTGTATGGGGTGGTAGTAATATCTTCACCGCCAGAAAATGGAAACAATATCCTGAAATTTGTAATTCCGGGTAAACAAAAAACGGCAATAAAGAGAAAGCAAAAGGTTGCTTCCATTTGAGAGAGAAGATTTACTTGGAATTGTGTGCACATACAGGCTTCGGCCGTTCGCGTGCCCTTAAACCCGGTTTGATCCGCTTCTTTTTTTATCCGGAACAGCATTTTTCTCTCACAAATTCCTCCAGCATTCCTCCAAACCATCTAAATTTCTCCAGAATTCCTCCAAGCGAACAGGCCCTTCGTACCAAATCACAGTACTACCACTATAGCATAAGTTTCTATTTTCATACTCCCTCCAGGTTGGTAAAGAAATCGTTTTGGACAAGGTTTTAGTCAAACATTGAAAATATAAATTACGAATAACTTTTAAGTGTTGAATGAGTTTGGAAATGATAAAACCATATGAATAGATTTGTCTTGAAATATACTTTCATAAAAATATACATATATCACTTTTCAATAAATATTTTTATAAAAATAAGAAGTCAAAGTTACGTTTTGTAAATCGTGTCGCTGTCCAAAACGATTTTTTTTTACAAACCTAGAGGGAATATTATACTACTGTACATGAGCTTTATTTCAATCTTTGGCAAGCTTTTTTTTTTTACAACAATCTTGGGCAAGCTTTTTTTTACAACAATCTTGGGCAAGCTTTAGGGCACTATCAGTGGGACTGTGGGACACTACCGATGTGCGGTGGAATATGCTTGGCACTCGTACGGAGACACTTTAGCTAAATGATGAATGTGCCCGCGGACCCAGCCCAGTGCAAGTACCATCCGGCACGGTACGATCCCGTTAGCGACAGGCCCCCCTCGCCGTCGTCGTCGTCCCCAGCTCCCCTGCTGCTGCTGGTGGAGTGGAGTAGGTGGCGCGTTCCGTTGGCGCTGTAGCGTGAGGCTGATGCCCCAACCGATCTTTTTGTTGCGCCATTTCCATTTTTTGTATGGCACACATGCAGTGCTTTGCGCACTTGTTTAAGCAGCAGCTCGCTAGCTTGTTGCTGCCTTTCTGCGGTAGTTTAAGCACGTACGCATGCATCGGATTCTGCGATGGTTTTTCCTCCCGGTGGTTTGCATGCAGTTGCAGCCTTGCAGGAGTGAGGAGTCGGTGGTGAGTCGTCCGACCGAGCTTGGGCTGTGTGGTCTGTGGACAGGATAACGTAGTTTATTGCGTGCTTCCCCTGTCGGTTTCAAGAGACAGTTTGCAAATCGCAGATCTTGCATTGCGTGCAGGGTTCCAGTAAGGTAGAGTACTAGCTGCTAGCTTGCTAGTAGGGTGGTTGTTGCTGCATGCGTATTTTTATTACCTTGATTGATCGGTCTCTTGTGACTCTCGGTAACGTTCGGTGAACGGTGACGATCGAAGAGACGAAAAGAGATCTGCTGCTTCGATCCCCAATACAGACGGCAGACAGTAGCATATGTCCATGTCAATTTGGACACAAGAAAATCAAGGTGGGAGGGTTAGAGGTACAATGACCATATGTATGATTTTATCACAAATCATTGTTAAAGTTAAGATGTGCCATAGACGTACTGATCAGTATTGTGTTTAAATAGAGGTGGGTAGATAAATAATGAAGAGTGAAAAAGATACACCGGAGGTACCATAGTTTATATTTGACGCAACTCGGAAATGGTTAAATGGACTTATATTCACGATTGGAGGAGGGTTTTTTATTCTTAGCTTGGCCGGTAGATTAGGTGGGGTGCTTCAATCGTATGTTCTGATTTGCCAAATGCTAATAGGACGGATTGATTTGGAATACTTATTTTGAAGGGCATAACCGATGGACGAATTATATTTTTCCACATAGGAAATAGGGACCAATTTTAATTTTGTGGGTATATGTATACACAAGGCTTGCGCAAAGATAGTTTAGTGGCCCACTTTGGAACATCCCAAAGAGAGGAGCTGTGCTGTCAGTGGAACCAATGTACTAATTATGTATACATAAGACTTGCGCAAGATAGTTTAGTGCCCTACTTTGGAACATCCAAAAAAGAGGAGTTGTGCTGTTCGGTGGCACCGATGTACTAATAATATGTTAATAATATGTGTGGCAACAAAACACACTTTTGTTGCCTGGGTCATGGTTGGGCTCAACCCGTCCAACCTAGCCCTGAGTCCAATCCATTAGCTCTCATGTCCTTTATTCAGTGCCGCTATGTTACTGTGCCGAAGTAGATGACGTCCCAAGCAGTCGCGGCTGGCCGACTAAGCCAAGGGCAACCTCCTTCCCCCTCCTCCCCCGACCCCATTTGATTGTCCTGGCAACCAGCAAGGAAGTTCGACAACACCGTTCAATTTGGCGTGCCCTCATGAGGAGGTTTGTGCCTCGATCCACGTCCTCATTTGGACAGCGCGTGAGATTTGAGGTGAGGAGGTCTACGTCCTCGATGGGGCTAGGTTCAGCGACGGTGACGACAAACTGCGGGGTCACCACCGAGCGGGTCAAGGGTTGCGACGCGGTCAGCCCTTCCCTTGAATCCGATTTGTTCTCACGGCGGCGGCTGCATCGACTACAATGCTAGCTATATATCTGGAAAATGGCTCCGAGGGGTGAAATAAAGTCATTCCATGGCTCGATTGGAAACAAACTGGCAGACTCAGTATTAGGATCTAGAACCATCCCATGACGCAATCAAAACACCGGCAACTAAAAAATTCAGGTGCTATAAATGCCACCGTGAAGATCAAATAGCACAATCACGCTACAGCATTAGCGATACGTGTGAACAAAATAAACCTTTCTTTTGAAAGCATCCAGGCGGAAAAACGCAAATAAAAAGCTATAGAAATGAGCATGTGCCAAGCATGCATGCGTCACCAAAATAGTTTCCTAATAATAACGTCGATGTCTCGGTTCGCGTCGCGTGTTCGTCCAAAGTCACCCGGGCGACGTGGCACCACTAAGAATCACTCCTGCAGTCTTTTTTTTTTCCCACTCAGTAGTCTCTGATACTACTGCTAGTGAGAGTCACCACCTTTCCTCAGTTGTCAGTTCCTCCGTCACCACGGCGTGACCGGCTGACCGCGACCTCGCGACGTTGAGGCGCGCGCGAACGAAAGCAAGCGATCGAGATCTGGCCGCGGGTCCGGGGCCGGGCCCCGATCGGGATCTGCTGCCTCGGCGGTTGCGGCGGCACAGCGATTAGAATATACCGCGGCGTGGAACACGCACGATGCTGTTGCCGCTTGCTGCCGGTTGCCCCGTGCCCCCGTGACGAGCGAGTTGGGCTCTGGTCCCCCGCTGCACGCGCGTGAAGCGAAGAAACGGAGTGGCTGCAGCGACGCGAGCTGCACTGGGTGATCGATGGGCAAGCACATGCCGAAATCCATCGGGATCTCGCCAGCCATGTGCGGCCGCGGCCCGGAAGCTCCGGACGACGCCGCACACTACTACAGAAATTATTATTTTTAGGGCGGCTCGTAACATTTTATAGGAGCGATTTAGCTAGTCGCCCATATCAAACCGTCTCTACAAATTATATATTTATAGAGACAGTTCTCAGGCCGTCTCTACAAATTGATTTATAGGGGTGACTCGTATTATCAACCAGGACGGCTGTAGTACCAGCCGCCTCTATAATACCTATTTGTAGGGGCGATTTAATCTAGAACCGCCCCCTACAGTACGTTTTTCCGCAAAAAAAAATAAATTTACAATTCAAATTCGACCAGAACACTGTTTGTTTCCGCGTATTCCATCCAGCGTTCGTGTTGCCGAACGCCGAACGCCCAGCGTTTCAAACCGCGTTCGCGTTGCCGAACACCCCGCGACCAACGTTCCAAACCGCGTTCACGTCGCCGAACGCCCCGCGACCAGCGTTCAGAACCCCTTAGACTACAAGCACAAGAATATTATATAAACTACAATTACAAGTCCAATTCATTAGAATATATACAATCCATCGTTTAATATACAAATTCCATACACATTGTTATCAACGTCCTAGAGCTAGTCTTTCAGTCTCACGAAAGTATTGGTACTGAGGATTTCTACCTAAGTCAGACTCTCGGTCATGGTAGACGTCTTTAACGTGTACAATCTGGTCCAATATGAAATTGCAAAGGTCGCCGACGAGCTCTAAGAGTTGATCATTCTTGTATGGGTCTCTTTTTTTCATTCCTTTCTCTTCTTTTCTACTACAAGAGAATAAGTTTCGATTTAGTATTTCATTACATGTACAAAGTTTTTATACTACGGGTAAAGAGGTTAAAACTTACCCTTAAGGAGTGTCTTCTATAGCCACCGGTGTTGCTCATCATAGAACATATATAGTATCCACAATGTACACTCCTAGGCTTTTGCTTGAGGGCACTATGTGTTTTACATATGAAAATATTAAGTAATGCTTTTGTCAGCCATGTAATGGAGTACTGAAGAAGTAAGTTACACTTACCGCACATAGTATTTTTATAGCCAGCTTTTTCTTTCTTGCTGGATCATGCCTTCCGTGATGATTAGTGACATAGAACCTAAATGCCCTG